GTTTGTGGAGAATCCCACGGTTGTGTCCTAGCCTGCAATGCCCAGGTTGCTAGGTAAAGGTAAAGAGACCCCTGACACTTAAATCCAGTCACGAACGACTCTGGGGTTGAGGCGCTCATCTCACTTTACAGGCCAAGGAAGCTGGCATTTGTCCGCTTCCAAAGTTTTTCCGGGTCATGTGGTCAGCATGACTAAGCCGCTTCTGGCGAAGCCAGAGTAGCGCACAGGAAACTCCGTTTACCTTCCCACCGGAGTGGTACCTATTTATCTACTTGCACTGCGTGCTTTCAAACTGCTAGGTAGGCAGGAGCAGGGACCGAGCAACGGGAGCTCACCCCGTCGTGGGGCCTCGAACCGCCGACCTTCCGATCGGCACGTCCAAGCGGCACAGTGGTTTAAACCACAGCGCCACCCAAATCCCACCCAGGTTGCTAGCATGATTCAAAACGTCACAATTCACCCTTATCACACTGGACTGGATGTTACCAAGAGCAGCATGAGAGCAATCAAAAGATGGTAGCAACCTCACCACTCCAGGTAACATATGAATGAGGCCGGAGAACTCAGCAGAGAAATTTGCAGATGGGCAAAAGGACCTGAAGAGCAGTGGGACAAGGGCACCCAAATCCTGGAGCTTTTTCAGATCAGCAGCCACTGTGTTGCCTTCTATTTTATTCCTGGAATTTGAGCAGGATGGTCTAGTCGAATGCTGCAGACAGCCCACCCCCTTTCCAAGATTTAGCTTTCCTTTTGAACTCTGATTCATTGCTGACTAAGCTTTTTTTAAAAAAGGGTCGTAAATTAGAGATGTCAACGAAGCAAGACAGTGACAGCAAAGCCCCTTTTTAAGACCATGATCTGAAGCCAGAAATACTTTAGCGGGAGTAACTTGAATATTCAGCTTGATTGGTGGTTAACAAGGGCACAGAACACCAAAGGGAAACAAGTGTGCATTTGTAGATCTTTCTAATTCTTTACATTGAAAAATGGCAGGATGCATGTATTGGCTTTTTTTAAAAAAAAAGAAAGAAAGAAAGAAAGAAAATGTCAGTAATAACCTTGTTGCACAGTTCCCAGCTAAGGGAAAACAGAATCCCTTTTCTCCATGCAATGAGGGAAGCTCACTGTACACTTCAGAACTGTGCATAATCAGAGTTCTAAATCATGAAAGGAGTTCAGTGGGCTTTTCAATGCCAACTTATACCTTCAATGCACGGAGAATAGGAAGCCTGAGCACCAAGGCATGTGGCAGAGGTGGTGGCCCTTTCTAGTGTATCTCCACTGATTCTAATCACATGAGAAGAAGAACTTCTGCTTGGGCCAACAGGCAGATATTCTAAAGTGCTGCATGTGGCAATACCACATCTCACCCCACATTTCTTTGCAAAACATTACCTGAGGGGTGATGTGTAAGGAGCAGCAGCAGCCACACACATCCTCCCGAAAACCTAGGCAGGGTGTCAATTTCATTTCTCATTTTTCCAGTTCTCCATACTTCTGAATCAACTTCTGATTTTCTATCTTAAGCGCTCAAGAACATCCATCAGCATTTTAGCTTGAATACCTCCGAACATTCACATATGCAGTTTTTCCTAATCTATACATTTTTGCAGATCGATTCTCCCTATTATAATATATTTTTGTACACTGTTTTCACTATGTGTTTTTGTGGGCACTTTATATCCATTTTGGGCATATTAGTTGCCTGGAGAACTGCATTGCAAAATTCAGGGACATGGTACTTTTAAAGGTAAAGGTACCCCTGACCATTAGGTCCAGTCGCAGACGACTCTGGGGTTGCGTGCTCATCTCGCTTTACTGGCTTCCGGGTCATGTGGCCAGCATGACTAAGCTGCTTCTGGCGAACCAGAGCCGGACACGAAAATGCTGTTTACCTTCCCGCCGGAGCAGTACCTATTTAACTACTTGCACTTTGACATGCTTTCAAACTGCTAGGTTGGCAGGAGCAGGGACCGAACAATGGGAGCTCACCCCGTCATGGGGCCTTGAACCACCGACTTTCTGATCGGCAAGCCCTAGGCTCTGTGGTTTAGACCACAGCGCCACCCGCGTCCCTTCTCATGTGACTTTTAAAGGATGGCAAAGTTTCAGTTCTCAGATTGTTTCAGAAAGTGTGGATTGGGTTAGATCCACCTTTGAATATGAACTTAAATCTAATTTCTACCCCCATCCCTACCACAGATTGCTGGTGTATATACATCCCATTTGTTGCAAGAAAACCACAAAAAAAGAATGCCAGTATTTCTCCTGGATAAATAGTTTTGTGCCGTGTGGTTTGCTTACTTTCCTCATCAAAATCGTCAAACACCAAAAAGTGTGTTAACTTCCCAAGTGAAGTCTAGGAGACACTGAAATGGAACACAAGCTTGGTTGTTTTGTCCCCTGGAAAAGCAGTGTGACCTTGGACACACAGTACTTTATCAAATTGTCCAGGTGTCTCAAAGGAAAGCATAAATCTTCAAAGGAGTTCATCAAAACACCCAAATTCTTGTGGTTTAACTTGTATCTCAGTCCTAGCAGGACTTCTGAAAGCTAAGAAATGCTCACAATGTATACAACCCATGTATAAATCTTGCATATCAGGGCTGTGATTCAGCAGCTAAGATTTGTGTTCCTATCTGGTGGTCTCTTGTATTTGCACATATGTCCTCTTTGGGGGCTCCTGTGTCGTTTCAATTAATGCACAAAGTGGGGGCACATTGTGGCACTAGGCTCCACCCCCCAACTTGTGTGTGCCTGTTGCCAATGAAGACATATTGCCAATGAAGACATATAATGGTAGTAGGGTGTGCATGGATTCTGCTGCCCTACATGCACTCAGCACATTGCTGGGGGTAGATCTATGCTTGTAGAGTTTAGCACAGTGTAGCAGGAGCCTCTCTGGCAAATGCTCCCTTTCCACGCCCGGTGGAGCTTTTGTCTACAAACAGGGTGACAACTCCAGTCAGTACTAACCCCTTCCCTCCAGTTCACTGAGTCAGGATTCCTCAGTCCATAAATGAAGCAGGAGGGAGCTTCTAAAAACAGTATTGAGAAGTCAGAAAGTACCATATTTTTCGCACCATAGGACGCACTTTTTCCCTCCTAAAAAGCAAGGGAAAATGTGTGTGCGTCCTATGGAGCGAATGCAGGCTTTCGCTGAAGCCTGGAGAGTGAGAGGGGTCGGTGCGCACCGACCCCTCTCGCTCTCCAGGCTTCAGGAAGCTATCCGCTAGCCGTGGGAGACCCAGCTCTCCCACGGCTAGCGGAGCGCTGCATTAATCCTGAAGCTTGGGGCGCGCGGAGCTCAGCGCGCCCCAAGCTTCTGGGTGCCGGCAAGGTCTCGCTAGCCCTGGGAGAGCCCCGCGACGTCGCGGGGCTCTCCCAGGGCTAGCGAAGCGCCGCGCTAATCCCGAAGCTTGGGGCTTCGGGATTAGCGCTCCGCTAGCCGTGTCTAGGCTGCGGATAGCAGCCTGCTTCCCGGAGCGCCGGGCGCCCTGAAAGCAGAGCTCCAGGCGCTTCGGGAACACATCCGCAGCGTGGGGAGCCTTGCAGGAATTCCCCACAGGGCTCCCCACGCTGCGGATAGCAGCCTGCTGCCTGGCGGGTGGGGCGCCCTGAAGCAGAGCACCCCTCACGCCAGGCATACATCCGCAGAGTGGGGAGCCTTGCAGGAATTCCCCACAGGGCTCCCCACGCTGCGGATAGCAGCCTGCTGCCTGGCGGGTGGGGCGCCCTGAAGCAGAGCGCCCCTCGCGCCAGGCATACATCCGCAGAGTGGGGAGGCTTGCAGGAGTTCCCCACAGGGCTCTTCACGCTGCGGATAGCAGCCTGCTGCCTGGCCGGTGGGGCGCCCTGAAGCAGAGCTCCCCGCCCGCCGGACAGACATCGGCCAGCCCCACAAGCTTGGGGACAGCAGGGAGGCGCAGCGCCACTATCCCGCTGTTCCTCGACCTGGTTCGGTTTCCCTGACCTGCTTTTGGGGGGGAAATAAAGGGGGGAAAATTTTTTCCTTTATTTCCCCCCCAAAAAAACTAGGTGCGTCCTATGGTCCGGTGCGTCCAATCGTGCGAAAAATACGGTATTAAACAAAGTTTAAAACTGTGAGGCTGGGTGGGATAGATAATATAAGTGAGGTGGCTTCGTTGTTGTTGTTATTGTTGTTGTGTGTATATTTCGTTTTAATACACCACACACAAAAAGGAAATATGAAGATAAATAAATATCCATCACTTCCTAACAACTAAGAAAAAGAAATAAAAATAAAAAACAACAGCAACACCAATACATTGAATAGTGCTCATAATACATTTAACATAAAAATAACTTTTTTCTATATAGCTGACTTCCTGTCTACTCCTTACTTCTATTTCTCATCCGTTATTCACTGCCATATTATAATATGTTTTGCCTTTAGTGTTATTTATTCTATCCTAGGTTTCCCATCAAATTTAAAACTCCTACTGAAGTTATTCAAATGCTGCTACAGATTTCAAACTGTCATTACTATTTTTCAAATAAATTTTAAAGACTTCCCATTCTGTAATAAATACTTCCTTTGATTTATTTTTTATTCTTTCTGATAAGTGGTCTAATTCTGCATATTCGGTCATTTTTTTGGATCCACTCTGATCTAGAAGGGACTTTATCATTTTTCCAATTTGTCACAATGAGCATTCTTGCTGCAACCATAGCGTAGAGAAAAAGTTCTTTTGATTTTTTAGGGATATCTGAGTCTGTGATTCCTAGTAGGTAAGCTTCTGATTTTTTGCTGAAAGATATTTTTAACATTTTTTTTCCAATTTGGAATGGATATCCTTCCAGAACGCCTTGATTTCTTTACATTGCCACCACATGTGTTAGAGGTTGCCTGGCTTTTCTTTACACCTGGCTTCTTTGTTGGTGAGACATGCGGTGTTGCAAACTCCTGATGCAAAATCATTTGCACTTGAAAGTATGGAGCAATGAGCAAACATCCACAAACACGTTATATGTTGCAGTGGTGCCGTGGAGGGCAGTGTGTCAAGTATGGCGATGAAGGGCCCAAGCCAACCCACGGACAGTGGTCAGAGTGGTCCCGATGGTCATCGTGTTCCAGAACCTGCGGAGGAGGCATATCTCACCGAGAGCGAAATTGTACGAATCCAAGGTGACTGCGAGTTTCTTTTCTTCAAGTCTAAATGCGGTGGAATAAGCCAGATGTTGCAAAGCCATAACCATTCCTTTTGTTATGGGTAATGGCTTGCATCAGCAGCTAAGGCGCAAGGGCACAATAGTGTGCTTCACCAATGTCATGCACTGGGTGCCTCTCCTTGTTTATAGCAAACGTTGCAAAACACAAGACTGGGGCTTGTCCACACTTCTGCTTCTCCTGTGCCCAGAAAGCACAGATCCAAGTGGTTTTACCTTTGCCCCACCACTTTTCCGGGAAAACCCACTCTTTACTGCTAAACCAGAACAAACATCAATCCACAGGGAACCTGATTGCAATTTGTTCCGATTTAGCACCAAACCGCAGGTTTTCCTGGGGGAAAGCAGTGGGGCAAGTGGAAGTATGGATGAGCCTTCTGTTTACCTCCATTTGAGACGTGTTGTGATACAGTTTTCCATAGTTCAGTAGCACAGCACACAATTTGCATTCATAAGATCCTAAGTTTCAGTCTCCAGGATCTTCAGTTAAAAGGATCTTGTTTAACAGGGTTGGCAAAGGCATCTGCCTGAGAGCATGAAGAACTACTCCTAGTTGAATCAGACATCTCTGTGCCAAGTAGACCAGTGATCTGACTGTGGGATGGGTTTTAATGGATCATTTATCTCATATGTGGGTTGAAGAGTTTCAAAATCCCATCCTTGGCAACAAAAGCATAGAAATTAGGCTTTCAAACCTTGTTCTGAGATGGCTGTCCTTTCTTACCCTGCTTATTAAAGAATCAGGCAACAGCTAGTAAAGCAAGTTTAAAAATAAGATTTACTTACTTTATAATCATTCTTTAGTTCACATTAACAGTAGCTGGAAAAAGGTATGCAGGCAAAATACTTATATTTACAGTTTAACCAGCTTCAGACATGTGCCTAAAACTGCAGCAAGCAGAGGCATGTCTGCATCCAAAGTTGGTCAAAGGAAGAGAGGGAGAGGAACAGGAAGTATTATATGCTCTTCCCTTTCCATGAGAGGAAGGGAAATGACATAACACAGAGTCCTCTCTACCAATTGTATTTCTGTGGTTTAAGTATCTGCCTACCAACAATACAGCTCTGCGGACTTAGCCACTTCTCATGCTAACTAGCAAGAGCGTGCATTTGTAAGGTTTGACTGCTAATGTACCTCACTGACAGCGTCACATGCTCCTTGAAAGGAGCAAAATTCAGTGGGACTTACTTCTGTACTCCTTGGAGGAAGAGCACTATGGAGACATAAAAATAATCAATTGTTTAAAAAACGCTTGAGGGGAGGGTGTTTCCCATAACATGGAATCTCAGCAAATACATTTAAACAGCTAAGGAAATGTTTTAAAGCACACCCTTTCTCTGGGGAGCTATGCATAGCCTCCTACTTTATCTTCACAGGTTAAACTAAGGTACGGGTTAAACTGAGGGACAGTGACTTGCCCAAGGCCAAGCATTAGGCTTTGTGGCACCACAGCAATTTGAACCTGGGTCTCCCTAGGCCTATGTTCAGCCATAGCCAGTACTTCACGCTGGAGGTAGTTATTTGTTTCTGCTCCACAAAAGTTTAACCAGATGTTTTTAGGATGCTTTCTTGGCTTATCTTTGTTCGAAGCCAACTTCTTAACAATTTCCTTTAGCGTTCAGATGCTGAGAGTGCATTTCCATTGCACGGTATCTGCAAAACGGGCATGGTCATGTTCAGGCTGATTTCCAGAAAGTGTAACAGAGGTTCCAAGGCACCTTCAGAAAATGCAGAGGGAGACACTCTGGCCAGTCTTGGCTAACCAATCAAAATAAGCACAGATGTTTGTTATTGAGCACATAAAGGTATATAAGGCCATATTGAAACTGCAGTCTGCTTGAATTTTAAGGATGTAAGAGATGGATATTATATTGTGTAAAATTAAATCTAGTAGAAGCCTGGTATGGTGGAATTGACTGTGCCCCTCCCAAGTTCAGATGAGGGGAGGTGCCGTATTTTCTTTTTACTGCTCCCTGATTTAAAACATACCCTACAAACGAAAAGAAAATAGCATGTCAAAGGTGAAGTTTGTGGTGCAGACTGCTCTGTGTAGGCTAATTTTGTATTTGCTGCAAGTTTGTTTTGTTTTTATGGTGTATTCACTTAGTCAAGTACACCTCATGTAGTAGAGTCTATTCTGCCACCTCAGTGTGCTAAATGTGTAGACCAGGTCTTAGACAAAGTCGGAGAGATGGATTCAAAAGGGTGATCTAGTGATCAAGAATATCTGTACTGAAACTAGAAGCCCTTGTCTGCATCCTCCAACTAACGTCTGTATTCGATTGGAATAGGAACTTTCTCAGTATCACTTGACCTGTTCCGCCTACGCAATGTATTGTTGGTGCCAACTAGATGCTTGGTAATCGTGGCAGAAATATGCTACCAGACATTTGCCTGGTAGCTGGAGGATGTCTTCTCACTAGGGGGTAAACTTAGGATATAATATGATATGCATAATTGCAGTTCTCTGGGCTTATCATTTGACCTTCCCTTGGCACAAACAAGAATATTCTAAGTGCCTTAATGCAGTCTCCATCAAGCCATGAAGCACATTTAGCTTTGGAATGTACACATCCTTCAACTTTATTAAAATAGTTATGGGGGATTTCCACATTGACCTCAGACCTTGACACAGATGACTTTTTAAATGTTAATTTGTATAGGGTATGATCTTGTAAGCAGCCTGCTTTTCCAGAATGCCTTCAACAACTGAAGGGGACAGTGGGAATGAACCTGGGAACAAAAGCTTTCTGCAAGCTAGGAGCTGGTGTGGTTTTAGCGTAACTGGAAGAAGGATCCAGTGAGATCTGAGCATATGACAATGAGAAGAGGGGGACATCCTGTTCTTATTGGTACAGTTTGGCCTCTGTTGTTAGCTCACCTGCACCTCATCTTGAGAGTACAGTGGTACCTCAGGTTACATACGCTTCAGTTTACAGACTCCACTAACCCAGAAATAGTGCTTCAGGTTAGGAACTTTGCTTCAGGATGAGAACAGAAATCGTGCTCCGGCAGTGCGGCGACAGCAGGAGGCCGCATTAGCTAAACTGGTGCTTCAGGTTAAGAACAGTTTCAGGTTAAGAACGGACCTCCGGAATGAATTAAGTACTTAACCCGAGGTACCACTGTACTGCAAGGAAGCCTGTACTGAATGCACTGAGGCTGATGGATTCAACTAAGCTGGAATCAAACTGTCGCTATGCGAATGGCTACTTTATCCTCCGCTTTGTGTTGGTTTATTCAAATACATGTTGTTAAAATGGTTAGCAGCTGATTTGAAGTAAGCTTCCTCCCCCAATTCAACATTGCAGACCGTCGCATGGAGGAAAGTTCTGCGAGGGTTCCTCTCGAATGTTGAAACTCTGCAACAGTCAGAAGTGCCCAAAGAACAGCATTGGCTTCAGAGCAGCCCAGTGTGCAGAATTCAACAGCAAGCGGTTCAGAGGATGGAACTACAAGTGGAAGCCTTACACTCAAGTAGCAGGTGAATTTAAATCTGGGATTTAAGATTCGGCTGTTTAAAGATATGGGCATGATTCCCCAATCAGGTGCACAATTGAAGATGCCTGGACATTCCGTGCAATGGAAGGAACATGTGGGGCTTCCATATGTGACTTTAGTGGTTTCCACTCACTTCCAGGATCACAGTTTCTGCAGGACCAATTCAGCTGGGCTTTTAGACTACATATTACTGTATTTTTCTCTCTATACAACACACTTTTTCCCTCCTAAAAAGTAAGGGGAAATGTGTGTGCGTCTTATGGAGCGAATGCAGGCTGCGCAGCTAAGCCAGAAGCCATAACAGGGAGAGGGAGCACTGCGGAGCGCTCCATCTCGCTGTTCTAGCTTTTGGATAGCCCCTGCGAAGCCTCCGTAGGGCAGCAGGGTGAAGGCTCCCCGCTGTCCTGCGGAGGCTTCGCACTGCTCTTGCGGGAAGTGGGGGGAGGGGACAGAGCAAGCGACTCTGTCCCTTCCCCCACCTCCCAGAAAAGCCCCCAAGAACCACGTTCCCTTTAAAGAGCGCACGGTTCTTGCAGGAGATGGGGGAAGGTACAGAGGGCAGCTTACCCGCGCACAGCCTCTTCCGGCCAGGGGGAGCCTTCATCCCGCTGCCCGGGAGAGGCTTCAGCAGCTATCCCATAAGCCAGAACAGCAAGAGGGATCTGGCTTCTGGGATTCAGAATTTATTTATTTTTCTTGTTTCCTCCCCCCCCCCCAACTACGTGCGACTTATCGTCTGGTGCGTCCTAGAGAGCGAAAAGTGCGGTATTTTCTCTTTGGGCTCATCCACACTTCCGTTTGTCCTGCGATTTCTAGGTATGGGTCGGAGAGGTTGCAGTTTTGTTCCGCAGCTTTCCCCAGGAAAACCCACTGCTTACTGCTGAATTGGAACAAACGTCAGTCGGGGTTTGTGCAGATTGACGGAAGAAATTGTGGTGCAAATGGAAGTGTGGATGATCCTTCCTCATAAATCGTGCAAACATGACCTCTGCTTCATCAGATACCTTGTTTTAAGATCACATGAGGGTTATTTTACCCTAATCTCTCTGTGCCCAACCCCCATCCCAAGCAACAGTCCAATGGACAAAAATAAAGGTATGTTGTCTTTGCATTTCAGATCAAGACTTGTGCAAGCTGTACTGCATTGCAGAAGGCTTTGATTTCTTCTTTTCTCTGTCGAACAAAGTAAAAGACGGGACGCCCTGCTTGGAAGATAGCCCTAATGTCTGTGTAGATGGGATTTGTGAGGTAATAATGAAATAAGGTACTCTATTTTGCCATTCACTCAACATTCCTTACTTGTAATAAGCAATGAAGGCAAAGTGTGACATCTGATTACCTTTCATTTTATGTTGTTCAAGAGGGAGGGGTAAAATGTCAGGCTGGAATTGGACGTTGCAGGAGTTGCATGTAAGGTAAAGGTACCCCTGCCCATACGGGCCAGTCTTGACAGACTCTAGGGTTGTGCCCCCATCTCACTCTATAGGCCGGGGGCCAGCGCTGTCCTCAGACACTTCCGGGTCACGTGGCTAGCGTGACAAAGCTGCATCTGGCGAGCCAGCGCAGCACACGGAACGCCGTTTACCTTCCCACTAGTAAGCGGTCCCTATTTATCTACTTGCACCCGGGGGTGCTTTCGAACTGCTAGGTTGGCAGGCGCTGGGACCGAGCGACAGGAGCGCACCCCGCCGCGGGGATTTGAACTGCCGACCTTTCGATCAGCAAGTCCTAGGCGCTGAGGCTTTAGCCCACAGCGCCACCCGCGTCCCAGCAGAGTTGCATGTGGCTGATGCCAAAAACATCGCCAGCAGTCTCGTCTTCCTCTCTTCTACCCTCCGGTCAACATCTAGCAATACAAAAGGATGCAGGCAGCAAAGCGAAGTGTCAAGAGGGTGAATGACAACATGGTATACATGTTGTATTGCGAAATGCTATCTGGAGAGAAAGGAAGAGGCAAGTCAGGGTCGCTATTTTGGTGACAGTTGTGTTTTTTCCCAAAACTACTGGTTCTGGTCTCAGGAAATGCAATATGTCTTGGAAGCTTCAGTTGTCCTAATCAGTAGATCAGTCAACTATGACTGTTTAATCCTCTGTGCATTTAGGGTTTAGATGGTAAGGTAGCACCATATGGTGTTCTGCCCTTATCATGTATAGGTAGGGATGGAGTGTTGCTCTAATTTTTAGAGAAAGAAACTAGATATGGGGAAGTGAGGTAGAAGAGGAGAAAGGTTTTACACCCTCACTTGTGTTCCAGTTTTGGTGCAAAGATTAGCTCTCTAAAACCTGCTTTAGGGTGAAATCAGTGGGGCTTACTTCCAATCAAACAGGCATAAGGCCTGGCTTTAGTTGAATTAATTGGTTAGGCCTAATTTGGATACAGGCACACTTTTTTTGTCTTTGGAAGCTATTTTGGTTCAAGTGTATTGATGTAGTATAGAATTGCAATATTGCTATGTGTATCGTAATCTCCGAACAGTAGGAGATCTCAGGGTTCCCGGCGCATCGCTTGGGTTTGGTTTCCGTGGCATGACAGTTACTAGAGGCTGCTGGCATTTTGTATGAGAGGTTTATTTATCCTCCAATACAGACTGAGCATAAGATGGAAAGTTCATAATGTTAATGCTCCCACAGATCCTGCTCTCGCATTAGGTTTGGCGGTGGGGAAGTGCTCAACCCCATACCACTTGGTTCTGTGCAAGGAACGAGTCAGGCCTCTCTCCAATTCACCTCCAGTCCCCAAACTGACAGCCCTTTGTTCTCTTTCAGACATAGACACCTTGCTGTCATCATCTTTAGCCAGGGGAGGGGGGAGGGGGAGGCCTGTTCACCTTTCAAAAGGGTCTCCAACTACTGGTTTCCATGACGATTCATTTCCCTAGCTTACATTGCAAAACAGATATTTAACAAACCTGGCTATCTACTTAACAAAGAAACTGGTCTGGCCATTTTAGCAGTCCCTTTCTGTAGGGAATCCAGTCTTACATCTGTAAAAGCACAGGATTGGAAGGAAACCACAAAAACCCATTCAGATCTAACCCTGCTCTCATTACAATATTAAATATGGCCTCTCCTTCTAAAAATGAATTAAAGATGGCCTTGAAGATGAACGTAGTTGCTCATTCTTTTTTCCTTTTTGAGAATGCAACGATACTCGATTTCCATTGAAATAATAAAAGTCTGCAATCCCAACCCCACTTACTTGGGAGAATGCCCCACTGAATTTGGTAGGACTCACTTCTAAGTAGACGGGGTTAAGATTGCACTGCAGCTGGCTTCCAAAAGATATACAGCATAAAATCAGAAATGGTCCAGGACAAGAAAACAATTACAGTGACCCACAGACAGGTCCAGGGACCTGGGTGGCGCTGTGAGTTAAACCACAGAGCCTAGAACGTGCTGATCAGAAGGTCAGCGATTCGAATCCCTGTGACAGGGTGAGCTCCCGTTGTTTGGTCTCTGCTCCTGCCAACCTAGCAGTTCAAAAGCACATCAAAGTGCAAGTAGATAAATAGGTACCACTCCGGCGGGAAGGTAAACGGTGTTTCCGTGCGCTGCTCTGGTTCACCAGAAGCGGCTTAGTCACGCTGGCCACATGACCCGGAAGCTGTACGCCGGCTCCCTCGGCCAATAAAGCGAGATGAGCACCGCAACCCCAGAGTCGGTCATGACTGGATCTAATGGTCAGGGGTCCCTTTACCTTTCCCTTTACAGATCCAGCAAAAACTTCAGCGACAGTTTTCCCTCAAGGAATTTGGTTTTTTCCCTTTCCTCCAGCCACTTTCAGTGTTGGAACAGGGCTGAGAAGAGAAGCTATGGATTGGGGAAGCCCTGGCATGAGCTAGTAAAAAAAAGAAGCAACAGAAATTGGCTGTCCCTGCTTTAAATTGTCAGTAAGGTGTTGACCCCTTCTCATTTTTTATTGTTCCACTTTTATTCTGCCGCTCCACCCAGAGGGCATGAAGAGGCCATTGGGCCTATTGTGGAGAGTTACAGAATGCGGGGGGGAGGAAGAGAGATTCCACATGTCAACATAGTTTCATATTATGAGCAATAATACCCTGGCAATTACCCAAGGTGAATGAGGCTTTCTTTCCCCCAAATGTCTGCTTACTCAGCCTTTTGTCTGGAGAAATGAAACATGCCTAGGAAATAAAATAGGAAAGTCTGATGGCTTCCTTCTAACTTTCGCAACTGACTTATCACTGTGATCTAAACGCAGACGTTGCAGATGATCGTGTGGTCCTTGCCTTGCAGGTGGTTGGCTGTGATCACGTCCTAGGCTCCAGTTCTGTGGAAGATGCTTGTGGAGTGTGCAAAGGAGACAATTCAAGCTGTAGAATATATAAGGGGCAGTACACAAAATACCACCCTACAAACCGTAAGTGTGCGTTGGAACAGCATGAGTAACTTCAGACTCGTAGCTGGCATTGCTCAAGAGTTCAAAGAAACCAAAGAAATCTGTTTTGAAAGGTTCAGTCTGCTATCTCGATTCAAACTGGTGCTAAAATGTATCTAAAGACAGATTAAAACCTGCTCCCTGATCTCAGGAACCACTATGCAAAATTTGGTTATGATAACTTAAGAGGTGTCCAGAGGCATATGGACTAGACAAGCAATTTCCCAAAATACAGTAGTACCTCGGAAGTTGAACGGAATCTGTTCTGAATTGCTGTTTGTTCCTTATCAGTGTTAAGGAGTGGGTTTTCGGTGCTCTGACATGGACCAGGAAAGCACTGTCTTGTGCCTAGAAAGTGTGCAGCCAAAGTTAAGTGTGGATGTGCCCTTTGTCAAAAGCATAGGAAGAGGGGTGCGGTGGGGGTGGTCCGTCCTGGGTGCCATCCCAGGGGAGGGACACACAAACACCCTCGGGTGAATCGACCCACTGCACCGCGATCAGCCCCCTGACGGGAGGATTGCGCCACGATCGGACCCCTGCCGGGAGGATCGCACCACCGCACCGCACTTGGACCCCCAAGGAGATTGTGCCACCGCAATGATTGCTCCCATGGGCAGATCACCCTGCCCCTGTGGGCAGACCACCCCACCCCCGTGGGTGGATCGCCCCGCCCCCAGGTGCACACCACTCCGGGTGCCCGAGCGGCTAGCTCCGGCGCTGCCCCTTATATACTAATTCCCCTTGTCCCCTAATAATACAGGTTCACCATCACATCCACCCACCACCAACACATGTTAAAACAGAGCTGGGTAGATTCCAAAACTCTCTTTGAAAACCCTGCTTTTAACCCAAGTAGGAGAGGACAGATGAAGCGGGTAGCAGGAGCGATAACCACACCACTTGGGTAACATGAAAACAATTCAGGCAAGATCCATGGACAGCCATACTCTACATCCCTACCTGGAGTGTGTTCTCTCCTGCCCAAGGTCTGCAAAATAGGAGCTGGAGTGACCTGCACTATTGACCAGTGAGGGAGCGGAAGACCAGGTTCTTAATATTTAATACAGGAACTTTATACTGGCTGGCAGTCACAGAAGCTAATGTTGCACACCATGAGGATTCCAACTTAAGTCTCAACAGCAACAGAGCCTTAAAATTAAACAAGAATTTAATGAGTGAATAATTCCCTTCTGGCTCCCCACCTTCATGTGGTGCTGGCTAGGATACTAAACTCGGTTTCTCTTCCTCCTTTGTCTAGAGTACTACAACTTAGTTACTATCCCTGCTGGAGCACGAAGCATCCGTGTGTATGAAATGAACACCTCCAGCTCCTACATTGCTGTTCGGAGTTCCAGTAAAAAATACCACCTCAATGGCTACTGGACCATTGACTGGCCTGGGAGATACACGTTTGCTGGATCTGTTTTTGACTACCGAAGGCCACCTAACCAGCCAGAGACATTAACTGCTCCTGGGCCGACAAATGAAAGTGTGGTAATAGAGGTACGTTATGTTTGTGATACTTAGGTTCCATGGTCCAAGAGTTGAGAGAACATTGTGCAGTTACATGACATGGCCTGGCCCAGATAAGGAAGGCATGCGTCTGATAGTTATAGGCCCTCTTCTGACAGGTTGTGTGCCCAAGACTTCTCTTTTTTATATATACAATTTATTAATTTTATGATAACAAAAAACAGCTAAAACGAAACAAAACAAAAACATCAAAATCATACTTCTTAATTAATTGCCTTCCCTGGTTCCATTTTTTGTACTTATTTATACACATCCATTGGGTCTTATACTCTTAACTATCTGATTTTAAAACCTTGTGCATATTATTACATTTGACCTTTAAAAGTTCAACTAACATAGAAGCCAATACACAAAGCTTACTAATTATGACCTGAACATTTCTCCCTTTTTTTAAGAGAAAATAAAAAAGAACAATGTCCTTTTTCCTTCTAGGGCTTCAAATTGTCTAGTGTGTCCACCATAGTTCATTCATTTGTTTTGCCAATCTCCTTCATCTTCTTTGATGGTGGCTTCTTCCTTCTATAGAGGTGGGCTGGTTCTCAGATGTAGGGACAAAGTCTTTTGCATGATAAATCCATTAAGTCCTGTACCTTCCAAGATAATAGCTTCAATTTTTTGTAACAAAGGTCATTTTCAACATATTCTTCAAATCTTTATGTATCACTTCCCAGGCTTTCTTAATAATTTTACATTGCCACCACATATGGTAGCCTCTCATGCCTAACTCGAGACTTCTCCAGCATGGAAGTCATGGCTGCTGTTCCCTTTTCAAGCCCCTCCCACTTCTAGGAGACAGTGGGGCTGGGGAAAATGGGGAATCTACTGACGCGTCCCTCATCTCAACTACCCCTGCTCCACCTTCTTCCGCCTCAGACTGCCCTGACTCCCCCTTCTCCCTTGGCACCTGACTTGCAGGTGGCATGGCACTAGTCCCCTCTCCTGGGTCACTCCAGTGGTCCCCCACCTCTGCCCCACCAGGCCCTGACATTAGAGCATGTTACTGTTGAACCATTCACTCTCTGCCTAACCTACCTTAATTGGTTGTTGTGAGGATAATTGGGGGGGGGGGAGAGAACTAGGTACACTATCTTCAGCTCCTTGGAGGACCAGGTGGCATATAGATGTAATAAATGAATGAATGAAGACAAATTCAGTTACTATTACTGGGTAATATCCAATCAACATGTTCCATCAGTGTTATGCATTAGTTGAGCACCACCCATTGTTGCTGTTGTAGTAAACCAGGGATCAGCAAGGTTTACCGGCCATGGGCCGGATCACTCCCATGGAGATTGTCTGTGGGCTGGACTGGCGCAGTGCGACACCGGAAATCGTGTCTGTGCATGTCCGCGGCACCGGAAATCACTTTTGCGCATGCCCAGACACTGAAAATTGTGCCTGTTCAGAAGCAATTTTTGGCATCTGGACATGCAAAGACACGATTTCCGGCACCGCTCAGCGAGTCACCGCACCGCACTGTGCTGGTTTAGCGCAGCATGTGGGAGACTTGCCGAGCGGGTGGCACGGTTTGGGGGCGGCTTGTGGGCCGGTAAAACAGTCTTCGTGGGCCGCATCCAGCCCATGGGCTGCACGTTGCCGACCCTGTAGTAAACCTTTAGAATTTGTTTTTTATATTAAGCAATACAGTGGTCCCTCGGGTTACATACACTTCAGGTTACATACGCTTCAGGTTACAGACTCCGCTAACCCAGAAATATTACCTCGGGTTAAGAAGTTTGCTTCTGGATGAGAACAGAAATCGTTCTCCGGCGGCGCGGCAGCAGTGGGAGGCCCCATTAGCTAAAGTGGTGCTTCAGGTTAAGGACAGTTTCAGGTTAAGAACAGACCTCCGGAACAAATTAAGTACTTAACCCGAAGTACTACTGTATATAAATAATAGCTTAACAGTAAGTATATAAATAAAGAGTAAATAATTAGAAGGCATACTTTCTTTTCAGAGATTCCTCATTCAGGGAAACTCTCTTGCTAACTCCACATTCAAAATTTCAGCAAATGCTAAGCTTATGCTGCTATTTTTTCCCCTCTTTTGTTTCTTAGCTTCTCTCTCAAGGCAAAAACCTAGGAATTGGCTGGGAATATTCCCTTCCCAAGGCAGAAAGTGAAAAAATGACACCACTGAAGCCTAACTATACATGGGCCGTCACCCATTCCGAATGCTCCGTCTTGTGTGGAGGAGGTAATGTATCTCTGAAATGTTCAAAAATACAGTTTTATTGCAGACCACAGACTCTTTCCTGTCCAGGAATAGCCCTCACTAGGCACTTCCAGGCTGCTTGAAAATGTAACCTGTAGGAATAGAAAGCTCATTTATGGGCTATATAATTAGGTTGGCTCCTACGTGTTATGTTAAATATGGCGATGGGGGGGGGGGGCGCCCAATACTTTGTTACGCTGATCTTCACTGTGCAGAGGAAAGTATTGCTTTAACATGACACTAGAAGAAGCAATACCAACCAATCATACTTCTAAGACTTCAAGTATTTCTACATGTCACTCTGAAGAACATTATTAGCTGGCCACCGGGAAGTAGAAGGAGCAGCAGTAACCAATTAAAGAGAGGACTTCCTTTTCTGGAAATTCAGAGCCACTGTTTCTGCTTTAGTGGGATGGTAGCACTTCTGGCCCAGTTCGTCTTGATGGGTGGCTGTTGGAGCAGGAATGGCAACACACTTGAACCTCTCATTTGCAGGTGATAAGTGCTCTGATTCCCATGGAAGAGCCTTTTCATTCCCACTGCTACTCTGGCTTTTCCTTCCTTGATGGAGGACGTATCCACACTTAACTTTTGCCCTGCCCTTTCCAGGCAAGAGGTCTGTGCTTTAACACTCCCTTGTCCGTGTGTTGGTTTTTTGTTTTGCTTTTGCCCTGAGCTTTCCCCAGAAAAACCTTTAGCACTGAAAGCAAACATCATTCAACCATTTATCCATCCTGGAGACCTCTGACCCTTTTCCTCTGTCCCTTCCTCCCTACTCCTCCACTGGAGATATCAGTGTTGCATGGCGAATTCCCCCCCCCCAGTGGAAATAATGACACATGACACAATTATTAAGGTTAATGGGCTTAAATAAGGCCACAACTTTATTGGTTACAGGTGATGAGCGGTATTGGCTTAGGCATTGGTCCTAACCGACTATATCCAACTTCAGCCCATCTGCTTGAAGTCCGGGAAGGGTTAACCACCAGTAGGGAGAGTCCTGCTGATGCACGTCAACTAGGAACTCCCCAGGGGTCACCAGTAGGGGGCGTGCCTTAGGCCCTCACCTCCCCAGGCTTCAGACAGGGCCACGCCCCCTGGAATCCTTTATTGGACTACCCTTCAATATGCAGGGCAGGTGATGGCGCTACCTCCCCTCTTCCAGTGCCTAACCACCTATGCCTAACCACTAATACCAAGAAAGTTGTGACGATTTTGCTATGAGGTAGGCGAACACCAAGTGGCTGGTGCCAATTTGCCAAGTGGAAAAATTCCTCCCAGGCCCCTCAACGGCGACCAACCAAGGTCCATAGCAAGGTCCAGGAACGAAAACCTTATAGGGCGGGAGGGTGGGGAAAGCCGGAACAGCTGGCAGGCAGCAAAGAGGGAAATCCCCGGCCACGTCCTGCTTTAAATAAGGCCCACATCCCCAGAGCCAGCCGATTGGCTGGCCAGGAGGTGACGTGGCTGGGAATCCCCCCCCCCAATTGCGCGGGGGCTAGGGCCGTGAAGCCCGCAACTCCACCTCCTCCGAAGGGCGGAAGTGGCTTTGCTTCCAGCATTCTCTATTTCTGCTTCCTAGCTCCTCCTTGCTTCCATGCCAATGGTGGGGCTTCCCTGTTGGCAGAGCTAAGCAAAGAGGTCCCTCTGCTCCATTCGAAGCATCTCCATCAGAGTAGACTGTGGCTTTGGATTCCTCTGTGAAGAAGGAGGGGTTCCTTGTTTCCTGGCTATGCTTCATAAAAAGTTGGTGGTAGAGGCAAACAGCTCTACCTCTCTTTTAAATCAGAACCAGTGAAGCCGGTGAAGGTCCTGTGTGAGTGCCTGGAGGCGGTTGGAGGATGGATGGCGGCTAACAGATTGAGGTTGAATCCTGACAAGACTGAAGTGCTGTTTTGGGGGGACAGGGGGTGGGCAGGTGTGGGGGACTCCCTGGTCCTGAATGGGGTAACTGTGCCCCTGAAGGACCAGGTGCGCAGCCTGGGAGTCATTCTGGACTCACAGCTGTCCATGGAGGCGCAGGTTAATTCTGTGTCGAGGGTGGCTGTCTACCAGCTCCATCTGGTACGCAGGCTCAGACCCTACCTGCCTGCGGACTGTCTTGCCAGAGTGGTTCGTGCTCTAGTTATCTCCCGCTTGGACTCCTGCAATGCGCTCTATGTGGGGCTGCCTTTGAAGGTGACCCGGAAACTGCAATTAATCCAGAATGCGGCAGCTAGACTGGTGACTGGGAGCGGCTGCCGGGACCACATAACACCAGTCCTGAGAGATCTGCATTGGCTCCCAGTACGTTTCCGAGCACAATTCAAAGTGTTGGTGCTGACCTTTAAATCCCTAAATGGCCTCGGTCCTGTATACCTGAAGGAGCGTCTCCACCTCCATCATTCAGCCTGGACACTGAGGTCCAGCACCGAGAAGTGCGAGAAGTGAGGTTACAGGCAACCAGACAAGAGGGCCTTCTCGGTAGTGGCGCCCGCCCTGTGGAACGCCCTCCCTTCAGATGTGAAGGAAATAAGCAGCTATCTTCTTTTTAAAAGACATCTGAAGGCAGCCCTGTTTAGGGAAGTTTTTAATATTTAATGCTGTATTGTTTTTAACACTTGATTGGAAGCCGTCCAGAGTGGCTGGGGAAACTCAGCCAGATGGGCGGGGTATAAATAATAAATTATTATTATATTATATATAAACAGGATCAGGTCTGAAGACTGGATGGTGAAACTGGGGGGGGGGGTCAAAACTGATGGATCATGGGCTTCCAGTTGCCTATCTCTAAGATGACCCCATGAGCATTTTGTGTGTGTGAATGTGTAGCAAACACACAGAGACATACACACTTGGCCTCGGATGTGGATGCTCTCAGCTACACTGCCTTGTATTCTGAGAAGGTACCCGGATACCAAGGCTCGATTTCGAACAAAGAGTAAATTGTAAGATGCCAGAGTTTGAGCAGCCTCCATATGGGGTGATAATCCTGTTGCTTGTTCTCTGTGAACATCTGCCACCTGGTTCAAAAGACCGAAACACTGGGAAAAGAAGAGCTGATGTCATAAACAAGGTAAAGGTCAAAGTGACTGTGATCCATCAGAAGCTGAATCTGGTCCTTGTTTCGGCAGCTCTAATGCAAATACTTTTGCCTTTGATCTAAGGCTGCTATGCTTGTCAAACTGTAACAGAATTTTTAAGTGATCAGTTTGTTCCCCATAAGAAAAAAAAAACCCTTCCTTTCATCTTTTCGACTTTTCATTTACAGTAGATGTGTTACAATCTCCTGGATCGTTAGGATTAGTTACTGATACATTACTGAATTTCACATGGCTAAAACTGGAACTAAACGATCAGCAGCCTGCGTGTTTTTCAAAAGTAAACAGCCAGGCTTCTCTGCTAGAAGAGGAAGGGGGTTTTCAGGGGAGAAGCCAAGGTTGGGAAGGAAGCCACTTAAGCCTTTCCTTTGCCCATTCACTACTATTCACATCGCTGGAGCTCTGAATATTAAAAAGCCAAAATAATACGGAACAGAAAGGCAGCTGGAGTGGGAGGTTGCAGAGGGGAAAGAGTGGAAACCATTAAGCACACAGACATTCACTGCACTGTACACACATCCACTGGCTAAGCAGCATGCTCCAACACCAGGAGCGGAGAGCAGGTGGAGGCGTGGCTGGCGCGCACCCCAGGGGGTGTGGTGCGCGTCCTGGGGGTGTGGCACGCCACCCACAAGGCATGACCCACATCCCAGGGCGTGGCTCGCCATCGCCGCAGGGGTGTGGCCCATGTCCTGGAGGCGTGGTGCCCAGCGCAGTTGGGGGGTGCATGGCGCATGACTGGTGGGCAGCCGCGATGGTGCCAGGGGCAGTGCTTTCTCCCTGCCCCCCACCATTCCTTCACCAGTGCACACATCCACGGTGAGACATGTATAGGTTGCCAGATATTTAGTTGTCATGTAATTTCCCATGGGTCACTTTGTTGTTGACAGCAGCGATTGAAGGTTTACAGTCTTACCTTGGGTTAAATATGCTTCAGGTTGAGCATTTTCAGGTTGCGTTCCGCGGTGACCCAGACGTAACGGAATGGATTACTTCCGGGTTTCGCCGCTCGCGCATGCACAGGCACTCAAAATGGCATCACACGCATGCGCAGAAGTGGCGAGTCGGGGCACGCGCAGACATGGGTTGTGTTCTGCTCAGGATGCGAATGGGGCTCCGGAACGGATCCCGTTCGCACCCAGAGGTACCACTGTATTTCTTCTGCTTGGGGAGGGGGGTGTTGCGAGGGGTGTCTATTTCAGTTTGCAGAACTCCTCTCAGACCATCTCGGTGCAATGAGCTGCTAGCCCTCAGGGAACAAACCCAATCCCTTGAGGCCAAGGTAGCTGCTTAGGAGAAGATGAGAGCCAGAGAGGTTGGTTGGCAAGGCCTTTGGAGATGCTCTAGAAGCATCCCACTTCCAAGGCGACAGCTTCCCTGCTGTCCTATAAAATGAGGGTCTTGGAGTAGGTCAGGACCACTCTGAGGAAAAGGGAAACGATATTTTAGAAGAGACCCATTCCTTGTGGGACAAACCTGATATCTTCTATGGAGGATCCACCCAGCAGCAAGAGGGATCCTGGTAATACAAGGGTGTGATCATTATGCGGGCATATACCACTGGGTTTGTGAATGGTGTGTGGATTACCTCCTGGTGACTCGCCTGCCTGGTGTAAAGTTTGTGGATGTCACACAAATAATCTAAATAGGAATGGAGAGGAGTCCATGGTCATCTTGGAACATGCTGGCATCTGTGGCCTGAGGAAATGCAGTTGTGTGGCCCCGGAAACTAAATTTAGGTTGCTGCGTAGGAGGTTACTCAGGACCTTCAAGGTAACTTTCTCTGAAATACTAACTGTTAGACAGGAAGAGCTAAGACATGGGTAGGCAAACTAAGGCCCGGGGGCCGGATCCGGCCCAATCACCTTCTCAATCTGCCCCACGGACGGTCCAGGAATCAGCATGTTTTTACATGAGTAGAATGTGTTCTTTTATTTAAAATGCATCTCTGGTTTATTTATGGGACCTGCCTGGTGTTTTTACATAAGTAGAATGTGTGCTTTTATTTAAAATGCATCTCTGGGTTATTTGAGGGGCCTGCCTGGTGTTTTTACATAAGTAGAATGTGTGCTTTTATTTAAAATGCATCTCTGGGTTATTTGAGGGGCATAGGAATTTGTTCATTCCCCCCCCCCAAAATACAGTGGACACTCGGGTTGTGAACGTGATCCATGCGGGCGGCACGTTTGCAACCCGCAGCGCTGTGTCTGTGCATGCGTGGGTCGCGATTTGGCACTTCTGCACATGCACAAAGCGTGATTTAGTGCTTCTGCGCATGCACACGCATCGAAACCCGGAAGTAACCCATTCCGGTACTTCCAGGTTCGGCGTGGTGCACAACCCAAAAATGCGCAACCTGAAATGTCTGTAACCTGAGGTATGACTGTATAGTCCAGCCCCCTGGTGGCGTAGCATGGGGGTGCAGGGGGGGCCGGCTGCACCAGGCGCAACATCTCGGGTTAGGGCAAATCCACAGGTTAGGGGGCGCAAATCCACGGGTTAGGGGGCGCAAATTACTTGCCTTGCCCCGGGTGCTGACAACCCACGCTATGCCACTGCAGCCCCCCACAAGGTCTGAGGGACAGTGGACCGGCTCCCTGCTGAAAAAGTTTGCTGACCCCTGAGCTAAGAGGATGGTGCCATGATAGCAATACAAAGAGACCAAAAAAACATGTCTGGCAATTTGGAGAGAAATGCCATGTATAAATGTTTATATGCTAATGCTTGAAGCTGGTGTTCTGAAGTGTTTTAGAAGAGAGATTCCACCCCAAGTTCCATAAAGTGGACGGCGGTGGCATGGTCATGACAAATGAAAATGCAAAATTCCTGTGATTTTCTAAGTCGCAAATGGGTTTTCTTTTTCCTGGAAACAACATGGAAATGAGTTGTAAGTTTCTGCTTGGTGCCGCTAAATTTCAAGAAGTGGATTGTACATCATGTGAAAGATTGCATAAAACATGAGAATTAACGAGAATTAACAATTAAGGAAATGTTGGGAAGACAGACATCTGTTTTATCTGTGCAGATGAAAAGGCTGTGGTTGCCTTCCCTCCCAACGCTTGCTCCTCAAAACAATTCAGAGTAATTCCCTCTTGCTGGAACTATCCTGTGCTGTCACTGTTATCATTTAAGCCTCTGAACTTCTTGCTCATTAATTGTGCAGACAGCATGTGACGGGCAAGTCTATAAAATGCATGACCAGTTTGTCTGGAGGCACAGCAAGCCACACATTGTGTAACAAACAAAAATAGCCGAGCTCAGCACACGAGGCAGACTGCGGAGGCAGGGAGGCCTGATAATAGAAGGGGAATAAATTGTGGGATAGAATGCTTCCAACACAGGGTGAAGGGTTAAGTCGCCTCACACGCCGCCTTTTATTGGTAGTTCTGAAAGGAATTTACATTCTGTTTTCTTTGTGTCAGGAGAAAGCAAGTTCATGCAAAGTGCTGTGAGGTAACAAAAGTGTGCCGGCATGCAGATCTGTGAGGGGAAGTGGGGGGAAGATACAGTAGGAAAGGAGTTGGTCTCTGCTTGTCTACAGGTGACTCTTTGAAACATTTCCTTCACTGTGTTCATGGGACTTTGCCTTGCGTAGAGGATTCCCCATTGTGTGTCTGAGCAAGCAGATAAGTGTCCGTGACAGCAGGGGAGAAAGAAGGTGCAAGGCCAAAGGGAGTTATTGGGGAAAGCATCACCCATAGGTTAGCAGGATGTTCTTCCCACCCTCTATAGTGGCCTGAAATGCTGCCATTGATCTAGGGCAAGGCCTCCTTATGAAGAACAATTGCGGGGATGGAGCAAATGTTTAAGTCCAGTGCGCACAGGGCCAAACTGCACGTTGCTTTTGCAGATACTATATGTTCCATGGCTGCACCGTGTAGCCCTGTGAATGTAAGGCGTTGCTTGCATGGATCCTGTTATATCCACCACATGTAAGACTGTTGAGCTTTGAGATGGACAGCTGTACCCGTTGCAAGGCTTGGGTGCAGTGCTGCTCTGCCATCATACATGACCACACGGCCCTTCCCCAAACCTGACCTCCATACGATCTTGGACTACAAACCCCATCATCCCTGACCACTGGCCATGTGGGCTGGCCATGATGGGGATTGTAGTCCTACTGCATTGAGGTTAAGGAAGGCCTCTCTGCACACTTAGAGCTTTGTCTAAAGTAAACCTTCTGGGAATGATGCCATAACACAAAAGGAATGCAGTGACTATCAAACACACTGCGTGGAACACGCTTGCAATCTAAGCAGCCACCACACAACCATTTGTGTGAACTAGACCGTACCTATGATAAAGGCACCATTCCAGCACTCTTGATCTCTGTAGCTCTATTTCTGCGTAAGCAAATAAGACTGAAGTGTGAGCAGATGCCCCCTGTCCTGTTCTGTTGCCCCTCTGTGTGGATTGATTTTGCCTCTTGTTGCACTCTGCTACCCTACTAGCCACTTGGAGAAGTTTTTAAAATTCATTTAGGAATTGGTGCGTGCTTAGTTTGCTACAGTTTTCTGTTGACGTTCTGTTGACAGTGCAGATATGTGCATTGATTTTAAAACTCTGTATAAAAAGTATTGTTGATGTGATCGTGCAATTACATGAAGATTCGTTGTTGTCATGTGATTTAATCAATGCCCATATGTACTCCTGAGCTTCAGCAAACTCCATACATGGTCTGAAAATTTAAAAGAAAGATTGGTGGACTGAATCATAGAATCACAGAACTGTAGATTTGGAGCGATTATCTAGGGTCATCTAGCCCAACTCCCTGCAATGCAGGAATCTCAACTAAACCATCAGTAACAGGTGGCCATCCAGTCTTTCCTTAAAAAGCTCCAATGATGGAGAGTCCACCACCTTCTTAGGGAGTCTGTTCCACTCTTGAACAGCTCTTACCATCAGAAATCTCATTTCTTGTAACTTGAAACCATTGATTCAGGTCCTACCCTCCATAGCAGAAGAAAACAATCTTGCTGCATGATTAGCTACTTCAGAACCCCCAAATCAAGAGACAAGTTTGGATGAGGAGAATTTTGTAAATATTCCTAAATAGACTACTCTAAGAGAACACTTGTTCTCTTCTGCAAAAATCCGAAGCATTTCCCTGATCTGGTCATTGAAATTTGCTCACGTACATCCCTGTGAATGGAAAGGAAGCCAGGTGTTCTGGAACCTTCTCCCCAAAAGCTTAGTTTTATGCAGCTATACATAAGCATTAGAGGGAAATCTTATACAGTGGTACCTCGGGTTACATACGCTTCAGGTTACATATGCTTCAGGTTACAGACTCCGCTAACCCAGAAATAGTACCTCAGGTTAAGAACTTTGCTTCAGGATGAGAACAGAAATTGTGCAGCAGCAGCAGGAGGCCCCATTAGCTAAAGTGGTGCTTCAGGTTAAGTACAGTTTCAGGTTAAGAACGGACCTCTGGAATGAATTAAGTACTTAACCTGAGGTACCACTGTATATGATTACCAGAGCTGCTCTGAGATAATCAGTCATGTAATTAGCAAATACCTAAGGAAAACACCAGACTTGTTTATTTGAGCTGGGCGCCCGAACCACAGGAGGCAATCAGAAAAACGAGGTTGCTATTTACATTGGGTTATGTAAGACGTACACGGTGGATTTGAGATAACCAAGAGATTGGGTTTCGGATGCATGCAGCTGTTTGCAACTTGGTACTAGCCACCTGTGTTCTTTTGTATGCAGGTCAAATGGTCACAAAAGCAAGTTGCTACAAAGACGGGCAGGTACAGGTGGATCCTTCTTTCTGCAACCCCAAGACTCAACCAGCTCCTGGAATTGTTCCTTGCAAAATGGCAGCTTGCCCTCCCAGGTAATAAAACCCTTTTTGATGAAAAGTTTCGAGGCTTTTCCAGGGAATGTTATTGAGGTTTTGTTCAATCTGCACTGGCTTCCAGTTCGTTTCTGGATAAAAATCCGAGTTTCTAGTCACTGATTATAAAGCCCTAACCTGTTCCGAGACCAGGGGATTTGAAGGGTTGCCTTCTCCGACTGTCGGGAATGGCCCAGGCTAGGACCAGAAAATGTTGGCCCTGTGTACGACTGCTCTGTCCCCAGTTTAACTCACTTCAGCCATGAATTCCTTTATTAGCCTCCAATTCCTCTTCTTTTTCTTTCTCTTTGTCCTAACCCACTGCCTGTAATATGGAAATAATACAGAGGTACCTCGCTTTAAAAACAGTCTGGTTTAAGAATGCTTCAGTTTACAAACTCCACAAAACCGGAAGTAGTATCCCGGTTTGAGAACTTTACCTTGGTCTAAGAACGGAATCCGAATGGTGGAAGGGCACCGGCAGCGGGAGGCCTCATTAGGGAAAGCGCACCTTGTTTAAGAACAGCTTCGGTTTAAGAACAACCTTCCGGAATAGATTAAGTTCAAAAAAACCGAGGTACCACTTCTACACTGTAGAAGTAAACTACCGTAAAGGTAAAGGGACCCCTGACTGTTAAGTCCAGTCGCAGACGACTCTGGGGTTGCGGTGCTCATCTCGCTTTATTGGCCAAGGGAACCAGCATACAGCTTCCGGGTCATGTGGTCAGCATGACTAAGCTGCTTCTGGCGAACCAGAGCAGCGCACGGAAACACCGTTTACCTTCCCGCCAGAGCGGTACCTATTTATCTACTTGCACTTTGACGTGCTTTCGAACAGCTAGGTTGGCAGGAGCAGGGACCGAGCAATGGGAGCTCACCCCATCATGGGGATTTGAACCACCAGCCTTCTGATCGGCAAGCCCTAGGCTCTGTGGTTTAGACCACAGCGTCACCCACGTCCCACAGTAAACTACATTACCTGTTCTCAAAACCGTTTAAATATTTGGATCGTCAGCCATGCCTGGCTTGATGGTTCTTAAGTTACGAAGACTCGATATATTGAAGAGTGAAATGCTGAGTATTAGTACTATTATTTGTTAATAGTAATACCTTTGTCTGCCATCTTCCGCCTCCTGCTCTGCAGTATCAGGAGATGCTGTACAGACCGGACTGGCTTGGGGAAGGTCGCCCTGGCCTGTGCAGCATCACAAGATGTTGCACAGACCAGCCTCCACCTCCTACGACGCTGTAGACATATTTCCAGAAGTGCTGCAGCAGGAGGAGGAAGAGAAGTAGTGATGTGCAGGGTCCAAGTAAGTTTCCTTCCATTTTTTGACCCTGCGCTCTGGTGTGAGCCAACTGACTCAAGCCACAGCACAGAACCAAAGAAAGCGCCACAGCACAGGAGGCTAAAATCGGGCATCTGGATGGGATCAGAAGCTGGGGTGACTTCTGTCCATCCAGGATGTCCCAGTTAGGTACCATCAGCCCTGGGAAACATGGGGCATCATGGGAGTTGTAGTCTATAATATCTGGAGAGCACCATGCTGGCTAGACCTTTGACAGCGATTGCCAAGGGGCTGTGCTTTCTGCTCTCTGTGTCTTTCGATGCTCAGGGGTCATTTTTCACATGACAAATATGACTTTCTCGTCAGGATCTTAGTTGTGTTAGAGTGTGAAGGAGGGGGAAAACGTTGAATAATGGAGATAGAGAGATATCACATTCAGGTTTGCGTGCCTCTTATTAAATATCTCATTTGGGATCCTGCAAGAAAAAGGAATACAGTCCAGAGTAAAATACTCTGCAAAAAAAAAAGTGCCTACCTAGAATTGCAGTTTCAGAAAGAAGCATACTGTTTTTAATTTTTAGGCACTCCAGCACTTTGAGGACACTTCTAATTTCATTGATCCTGAATCATCGTAGTGAAATAGTTATTTAATCACGGCACATGTTAAAATGGGCAAGCAGTTATATCATGGCTCTGCGTGCACATATAGTGCCTTACATCATTTATGTGCACTCTCTCGAGTTAAAAGAGACATCGCATTGCCGTCTGAACCTTCCAGACATCATTTCTGGGTTCTACATGGGATATTTTAGAATTCATGGCTGCAAGCCCTGAAGCGGTTTGGCTGCAGTCCCAGATTTGAGCATTTAAGCCAGCTGAGCTAGCTCATGAAGTCTATAAATATTAGGCTTACACCAGAGGAAAGCTTAAGCTGGTTGTTAAATTGCTGAGCATAATCGAAACTTGTGCGGCGTAAAACATTTATGTAACGTTCTTCTCATGGGTAATAGAAGATGATGATACAATTCCAGTTAATTCCAGTTTAATCCTTATTTATCATTATTATTTATTGATTTGATTTCTCAGGTCTAAGGAAACGCACTCACTTCATTTGGTCTAACAGGAAGTGATGGCAAGCTGTAGAGCAGGGGGTGGCTAACCCCAGGTTGGGGGCTGATGCAACTCGCATGAGCAATTTACACATTCGCTATCATTTGACCATGGGCTTATCCACACTTAGTTTTCCTCTGCTCCTTTCAAGCACTGTCCACATGTTAAAACCCAGTGTTCAAATACCTTTTCTTCCTTTCTTTCTTCCTTTTTCTGCTTGGTAGGTTTCCCTGTGAAAACCTGTTCTTTAAAGCTTAACTGGAGCAAATGGCAATCCGTTGAAAAAGCTGAATGGACATTTGCTTCAACTGAGCGCTAAAGAGCGGGTTTTCATGAGGAAAGCTTGGAGCAAACAATAAAAAATAAATGCCTGGATTGAGAGCTTTTAAGGTACCTGTGGATAAGCCCTTACAGTGATATTTCAAACTAGGCCACTAACAGCAATGTTAGGTATGGATTGAAACAAGGTGTTCTGTGGGTGTGTGACAGAGATGGCCCATCGTCCCCCCTGACATGACCATTAATTAGGCCTGAGCTGCGTAGTTGATAGCAGTGAATGAGAGGGAATTTTTAACAGGAAATGATTGACAGGGACCCTTTCTCATGTAACCTTTTCAGCATGAGAGCCCTTTATGGCATGGTACTTTCCCATGCAACAAAAGTAATCTTTTAAGAAAGAACACACTGCACCATATAGAAGGAGCTCATCCTGCAACTCCTCTCCAAGCTGCTGTTGCCCATTGTGGAAACTGCAGATCAAGTCATCCTATGCATGCTTATTCAGAAGCAAGTTCCACTGAGTCCATGGGACTTACTCCCAAGTAAGTGCGTACAGCAGGGGCCGGGATCTTTACCAGCTCAAGGGCTTGCATTCTCCCCTGGTAATATAATAATAATAATAATAATAATAATAATAATAATAATAATAATAATACCCCACCCATCTGGCTGGGTTTCCCCAGCCACTCTGGGCGGCTCCCAACAGAATATTAAAAACACGAGAAAACATCAAATATTAAAACTTCCCTAAGCAGGGCTGCCTTCAGATGTCTTCTAAAAGTCAGGTACAGTCATACCTCTGGTTGAAAATGTGATCCGTGCAGGAGGCATGTTCGCAGCCTGAAGTGCTGCGTCTGCGCACGGCGTGTAACGTGATTCGGCGGCTTCTGCACAATGTGAGTGATATCATTTTATGTTTCTGCGCTCCGCAACCCGAAAACGCGCAACCTGCAGTGTTTCGTAAACCAAGGTATGACTGTAGTTGTTTATTTCTTGACATCTGATGGGAGGACGTTCCACAGGGTGGGTGCCACCACCAAGAAGGACCTCTGCCTGGTTCCTTGCAACCTCACTTCTTCACAGGGAGGGAACCGCCAACATACGTAATGTTCTCTGAGCAATACAGGAAGGAGCAAAGCTACGGTGGTTTGCACAGCGCAAAGAAGGGACTGGACGACACTCCAAGTAGAACCAGTGGTTTGCAGAGTTTTATAGGCTACACCAATGAAGCTGTAGGTAGTTCGGGGGGTCACACTTTTGAAGGCGCCCCCATATAGAAAACAGAATTTTCTCATAGACATAGGGAGGAGGCTACTGAGATAGCTGTAAAAGCGATTTCTGTGCTGAGCCCCCTTTCACTTGATTTCCTGCTCCTGTTTTCATAAATATCAGCAGAACCAAAGCCGTCTATTTGAGGCAGGGTTTGAGGACAGAATGATGAAGACAGAGAAAAAAGATCTCTTGACTTTGACTTGGTGAGATTAACAGCCCTGAAACTACCGTATTTTTTGCCCCATAGGGCGCACCGGCCCATAGGGCGCACCTAGTTTTTTGGGGGGGGAATAAAGAAAAAAAAATTATTTCCCCCCCAGGCGTGGGGCTGGGGCGGGGGAAGCCCAAGCTTCCCCTGACCCCAGCCCCCAGAACAGGCTTCTCTCCGCAAGCCGTGGGAGGGCTCCCACGGCTTGCGCAGAGCTACCCAAAGCCCGGGCGCGACTGCTCAGCGCGCCAAGGCTTCGGGGTGCAGGCAGCTCTCCGCAAGCCTTGGGAGCCCGGCGGGAACTCCCGCAGGCTCCCAAGGCTTGCGGATAGCTTCCTGAAGCCTGGAGAGCGAGGGGTCGGTGCGCACCAACCCCTCTCGCTCTCCAGGCTTCAGCGAAAGCCTGCATTCGCCCCATAGGACGCACACACATTTCCCCTTCATTTTTGGAGGGGGGAAAGTGCGTCCTATAGGGCGAAAAATACGGTAAGTCCTAGTTCAGGATTTGTGTCCAGTAACAGTTTGGTGTTACATGCTTCATGGAATAATATGTGTTTTCGGGAAATAATAATAATAATAATAATAATAATAATAATAATAATAATAATAAATATTCTTTGTTGTTCCCCGCCCCTCTGACTGGGTTACCCAGCACAAAACATTCACAAGCGTAGTACACACAGAGTTTCACCTTGCAGCGAAGTGTTGTGCATTCATGGTTTAGGCAACAAGTTTTGAGGGGAGAGAAGAGAGGAAGAGATAGCTGTGAATAAACATCCATGAGTTCCGGAGTTTTAAGGTCACTTGCAGAGGCATTGGTTACTGCTCCAGTTCCTCTCTTC